TCAGGATGAGCGCGGACAGGCTCGGAGCGCGCGCGATCTGCGCCGGCTGCGCCGAGGCCGGCAAGGCAGCCCGCGGCGTCAACCGAGGGAATTAGCTTGGCGGCGTCGAGTGGTCCGACGTGCGCAACGCGGCTGGGCGCGAGCTCTAGGATCTGGGGCGAGCCTGCCCCGGCGCCGCGGCGATCGCGGAGCGCGCGGCTCTCCCTGCCAGGGAGTCAGTTGGCTCGACCCCGAGGGCGCAGGACTCGCTGACCCACTTTCGATTCTTGTTTTTCGAGGTGTCCAGGCTGCAGGCAGGGCTGAGTGCGGTGTTCCATGAGATCCTCGTCCTCGACTTATGCGAGAATGTTGCCTCCGTGAAGATCAGCGACTCCGTCGTGATGGCGGAGGCCATGGCACGCCACCCCCTATGCTTCGACCTTGGCGAGGCCGCGTCTTTGCTGGCAGAGCAATCCAGCGGTCGAGACCGATGGCGTCGCGGTCACCGAGGGCGGCATCGCAGACCTCGTCAGGCCGACGTCGGCTGAGGTCGAGCCGCGCGAGCTCAGGCTGGACGAGGGCTGCCCGCCCACGCGCGCGCCATCCCACGGGCGAGGCCCGGGCCCGACCCGAGGGGGGGCCCAGGGGCGCGACGCGATCGCCCTCGAGCATTGGAGCGAGGACCGCCATAGATTCGCGCCCGACCAGTACCAGACGCAGTTTCGCATCAGCGGTGGAGGCTCGCCAGCGCCGCCAGCACCAGAGCGCGAGATCCCCGCGGGGCCCGGGCGCGCGCCCGCTGGCAAGAGGGACCTGCGCATGCTGCTTGGGGGTGTTTTCCACGCGGGGGTGGCGGCGCGGCTCGTCGGGCAGGGCGCGCGCCGCGCCGAGCTGCTTGAGAGCCCGCCGACGCTGTCGGCGATCCAGGCCGCATTCTGAAAGCACGGTACGAGGCGCAAGGCTCGCGCGCCAGTCCGGCAGCGCCTGGTCGCGACGCGCCCGCAATGCGGCGTCTCAGTGCCGAGGCGCTGCCGCCGAGCGAAAGGAGCTCGGTTGACGCCGCGCACAGCCTGATGCTCGGAATGCACCGTCGTGCTGATCATCGTGACAGCGATGCGAGGCTGGGCATCGAGCTGCCCTGTCGGTGCAACGCCTGGCTGCGAGTCAGCGTCGACCAGCGCCGATGGCGCTGGAAGCGCGCAGTGGCCACGCGGTTCCATCGCTCGCGCCGCATCAACGAGCTGGGGCCGCAGATGGCGCGCGAGGCGCTGAGGCGGCGCATGCGCCGCTTCCGAGCCCTCGGCACGGGGGCGCCCGTGTTCGTGGACTCACACGTGTTTGTGGCGGTCGCTGCGAAGGGCCGCGCGTCGTCTCGCCGCCTGAATGCCGTGCTTTGCCGCCTCGACGGCCTCCGCCTCGCTGCCTTGGACGCCCCCATTCTTGACGTGCTCGCGCGCGGCGGGCGCTCCCGCCGATGCACCAAGCAGAGCGCCGCGGGTGCTGAGAGGCCGAAGTCAAGTGGCGCCGACGGCGCGAGGGGGGTTGAAAGGCGGCGCGAGCTGCAATGGGCAGGCTGAGCGACAGTATTCGAACCCAGCGCGCGATGACTCAGAACGTCGAATTCGCCGCAAACTTCTAGGAGCGGGCGCGTGGCCAGGCGCCTCGGCCGAACGCCGTGAATTTTTGACCAGCTGGACCAGCTACGCGCATCATGCATTGAGTGAATTTGGGGAGACGGCGAGCCGAAAAGGTTGGACTGTCTATGCCCTCGCAGAAGCGCGGCATTCGCAGCGTGGCGCCCGAAAGCCGCCTGGGACAAGCTTGAATTGCCGGAGCGGGCTCCGCCGTTGACTCGGGCGGCGACGCTAGCGGTCGCAGGTGCAATGCGGGACGTGGGGCGCCCGCGTTCTGCGCTCGCCATCGCAGTGGCGTTTCCCTGCGCGCTGCGCACGGGCGAGGCCTCTGCGCGTCGGAAGCGCGACGTCACGATCGCGGAGGCAGGATAAGTGCTTTCATATATCTTTGTCGAAAAATGTGCTGGTCAGAGGTTAGTCAGCATGATATTGCGAGCGTCGATGACGCGGCTGCGGCCAGGCGGCTCTTCCGAGTCCTCCAGAAGCTCCTGCGAGGGGATTGGTTGCCCGAGCGCCCCTGAGTTCCGCAAGCTGCTATACGGCGCCCTTCGGGCACTCGAGTTTTCGGCGCACGGCTTCAAGCCGCGCAGCCGGGGAGAGGTGGAGCAACGCGCCGCTATCGCGCGCAGGGACATCAATCGGGCCGCCCTGAGAGGGCGTTGGGCCAACGTCAACACGGCCCGAACCTACGCCGTTGACGCCCTTGCGATGCTCCACGAAGCCACCTTTGCGCCTAAACCATTCGCGGCAACCCGGAGATTCGAGAGCGTTGTCGCCGAAGCGGCGAGTTTGCCATCTTAGGATGGGGCCGAGGTGCGCGTGTGTGTTTATGTGTGCATATATATATATATATATATATATATATATATATACACACTGGGCAGCTATAAGTGCAAGGTGGGCCTCCGGGCCAGGGCCTGTGCGCGGGCGCTGATGCCCCCAGATCACCGCGCGCGGCTGGTGAGCCAGAACAAAACAAGGAGAAGGTGGATCGTGGGGGAGGTGATTTCTGAGCCCTGGCCCCGAGGGCCGCGTTGACCCTGGGGCAGGCTCGGGACTAAGCCCCCCCCGCCGTTGGCGGGAAGGCGTTCGGTGGCCTCCCGCGCTGGCGCGGCCCCTTGCGGGCCCCCGCCTGGCGCCACTGGTTCGGCCCATGCGTGGCCAGTGCTGCTCGCGCGCCGGCGCAGCCCCTCGGGCCCCCCCTGGGCTCGCAGGCGCGCCCCCGTGCGTGATCAACGCGCTGGGCCATCGCGCCGGCGCGGCCAATGGTGGCCAGTGCAGCGCTGTGAGCTGCCACCTGGTGGAGGCATGATACTTGCGCCAGCGCGCGCGCATGTTGCACTGGCGCGCGACTGTCGATAGGAAGGATGCCATGGGGACTGCGCTCTTTGGTTGACCATACTGAACGAGGGTATGGCGGGGAATGCGCGAGGGAACCCGACGGTTCTTCCGTGGCTGTCTGGGCCCAGAGGCACAGTCCACAAGCTGCCTCAAGCCGTCTCCTGCCGTCTCGGCAATGGGGCGGGTGTGACCGTCGCCCGTCCCGTTGCAAGATTCTCACAGTTTCTCCCGCAGGGAGTGTGGAGGTGGTAGTCTCTGAGACCTGGCCCTCTGGGGCCGCGTTGACCCTGTGACAGGCTCGGGGCCAGGTCCCCCCCCCGCCGTTGGTGGGAAGGCGCTCGGTGCCGCCCCCGCTGGCGCGGCCTCTTGCGGGCCCCCGCGCCGCGCCGATGGTTCGGCCCTGATGTGGCCAATGCCGCTCGCACGCCGGTGCGGTTCTTCGGGGCCCCGCCCACGGCGTGCCTGATCAGCGCGCCAGGCCATTTCGCCGGGGCGGCCCATGGTGGCCAGTGCCGCGCTGTGAGATGCCAGCTGGGGGGGGGGCCTGATACTTGCGTGAACGCGCGCACATATCGTACTTGCACGCGACTGTCGATAAGAAGGATTACATGCTAATCATGGCGATGTTGCTGCTGATAGTGATGATTGTGACGATGATGATGATGATGATGATGATGATGATGATGATGATGATGATGATGGTGAGGAAGATGGTCATGGTCATGGCCATGGTGGTGGTGATTGCGATGGTGTTGCTGATGGTGGTGGTGATGAGTTACTGCTGATGATAATGATTTTGGTGATGATGATGATGATGACCATTACGACGATGCTGCTGTTGATTAGTGGTGATGATCATTATTGTGATGACGATGGTGATGATGATGATCTTGATGATCTTGATGATGATGATGATGATGATGATGATGATGATAGTGATGTCGATGATGATGAACTGATGCTAGTGATGGTGGTGGTGATGATGATGGTGATGGTTCTGATGGTCATAGCGATGTTTATGATGATAAATGTGCTGGTGGTGAGTATGACAGCGACGGGTGTGATGATGGTGATGAAGGTGTTGGTGTTGAATATGATGGTGGTGTGGATCGTGATGATGTTGATGTTGATGTTGATGGTGGTAATGCTTGTGGTGGTGACGATGCCCATGCTCATGATGGTGATGGTGATGGCGGTTACGATGGTGACGATGGTGACGGCGATGGTGGTGGTGGTGATTATGATAATGATGGTGTTGATGGTGGTGTTGATGATGTTATGGCGATGTTGTTGCTGGTTATGATGCTGATTATGATGATGGTAGTATCGGTGATAGTGAGGTTATTGGTGATGCCGATGATGTTGAACATAATGTCGATGCTGGTGGCGGCGACGACGATGATGATGATGCTATGCTAAAGGTGTTGGTGGAAATGATGACCACGATGGTGGTGGTGATGTTGATGAAGGTGCTGGTGGTGATGGTTACGGTGTTGGTCATTCATATGGCGGTGGTGTTGATTGTGATAATGTTGATGTTGATGGTGGTGGCGGTGATGTTTACGATGGGGACGATGATCATGCTGGTGCTGGTGATGGTGGTGGTGGCTACGATGTCGATACTGATGGCGATGGTGGTGGTTGTGATGATGAGGATGATGGTGATAAAGATGATGCTGGTGATGATGAAGATGCTGTTGGCGATGTTGCCGATGATGGTGATGGTGCTGGTGATGATGACGAGTGTGATGATGATGGTGGTGATTGTGATGGTGATGGTGATTGCGATGATGGTTATGAGGAGGAGGAGGAGGAGGAGGAGGAGGAGGAAAAAGAGAAAGACGAGGAGGAGGATGTGGCGTGGGAGCTCCTGGGAGGTACGGCGGAGGAGAAGTGGAACGGGCTCCACTATCCGCCGACATTCGTTCCTTGAGGTGGTTCTTCCTCAAGGTCTCTCTCCTCCTGGAGCTGCGTTCCCCTTTCCTCCTAGGGCCGTTTCCCTGCCTCCCCCCGCACTGGCTATCCTTGTTGCAAACGGTTGGGGAGGGTTCCCCGATGCACTTGCTGTCCGACGGCGGCCGCTACGACTTCAGCAAGGTGTGTAAGTTGCCGAAGTACAACTGCACGTTTGAGGAGGGGAGGGGTGGGAGGTGAAGGCAGGGGAATTGATGCATTCCAGGCTTGGGGGTCCTGCGTGTGCTTTGCAGCTGTCGGCCTCTCGGACCCCTAGACGGGCCCCGAGACCGTCAAAAGACGATTCTAGTCTTCTGATGCAACGGGCTCGCTACATAACGCACGCGCAAGAAAAAGCTGATAGCATGGAAATGGCTTTAACATCGGTTTTTAGATTTGTTGCAAGCTGTCCAAAGTGTAAGCCCAGCGGTAGGCCCAAGCGCAATGGCGCCAATGATTGCAAGATTTGAGAAACATGGCGAGTGCCCGTGGTGTTGTATCATGCCGTTGCTACGTTCAGCTGTCTCCCGAGGTCGGGGGGGCGTGACTATGGCGGTTGACGAGAAATCGTGAAAAGGTGCAACGTGTACATAGCCAGAAGCATTGTGCTAGGGACATTGAGGGGACCTTAAAGCAACACGTCTACGAGGTTCGATTCAGGGCTTATGAATCGAGGAGACCGTTCTACGAGGTGACCGTTTGAAAGCGGCGGTCAATGGGGGATGGACGTGGAAACCATAACATTGAACCGCATGCGTGCGCGCGAACAGAAACGACCACGGTGATGAGGGATGGAGAGAGGGAGGGACGGGGTCTGGGGGGGGGGGGGGGGGGGGCAAACGTGGCTTCCCCTGGTGCACGTTCACCACCATGCAACAACAACGGAAGTCGGAGAGGCAGAGCCGACGGAATTGGCCTTGAGGGCCCGGAGGGGGCCGGGCAGATCTCGGGAGGGACCCTGCGGGGCTGGAACGGCGGGGGGCGGCGGGGCACGCCCCCGGAAACCTTACTAACCGGGGTGGCCCGCCCCCTCCCCCCGGGCGCGGCGCGTCAGATTGTCTGGGCCGCCCTGACCTCCGGGGGGGGAAGGCGCCGAGGACGGGGCCCGGGCGGGAGTCTGTAGGGGCCCCGATGGGAAGTTCATGGCCGCGGCCAACCGCGCATGGTTCAGCGCTTGGATCGCCAGCCCGGGCGACTTGCGAATGGCCTGTGAGCGGCTGCTCGAGGAAACGCGGGGAGGGAGAGCCGGCGGGCTGGCGGACGCAGGCGGGGGGCCCGTCGAGGGAAGGGCAGGCGTCCGCCCGGCCCCTGGCTGGCCCCCTCCTGGAGCCGCAGCCCGGCTCGGACTGGGCGGGGCGGAGACCGCACAACCCGACGTTGTTGCGCCGGGCACTGGGGGGAGGAGGAGCACCGGGCTCGAGACCCGACGCCCCATCGCGCCCCGGAGCTGGAAGGGAGAGGCGCCCACACCTCGGAGGCAGGGGGGCCCCGCCCGAGACAGGAGGAGGACGCCCGAGGGGCGAGAGGGGGGCCGCGCGGGGTGGGCATATCTTTGGGAACCTAGCCAAGAAGTCACCACCCACCAAACCACCCCAACCCAACCCGAAGGCTCAGATTTACCCTCGATTTCCAGTGGGGGGGGGTGTCGGGAAACATCGACAAAAACATATGTGGAACCCTTACCCCCCCCCAACCCGAAATTCGGGTCTTCGGGTTGGGTTGGGGTGGTCTGGTAGGTAGTCAAGAAGGGGCCCCGCTCCTCCTTAGCCATCGGGCAGAGGCAGCGGCTGCTGACCTTCACGAAGGCCAGAAAGCAGCGCCCCTACTTCATCGGCATGGGACGGGAAGGTTGGAATGGAGATGAAGGCCTCCTCTTAGATTCGTTGGCCACCCCGCCCGCGCCCGGAAGCCCTCGGTGGGGCGATCAGCGGCAAGTCGATGGCAGTTCGGCGCTGCCGCGTGGCCGCGGGGCACCCGGACCCCCTGGAGCTGGCCCCGTCGCATGTGGCTGGCCTTGGGGGCGCTGATAGGCTCGGGGACTTCGCAGAAGCGCGAGTGCCCAGTGGCGGGCTGGCCCCGGAAGAAGCTCAGCGCCAGGCGGGCGGGGTGCGCCGCCATGTGGGCGGCCCTGGCGGTCGCCTGTTTCCCCATTCTGCGCGCCTCGAGCACCTGGCGGGCCCCGCGAGACCGCGGGCAGGAAACCGGGCCAGTGCAACTTCGGCTGCTGCCGGAGCCGCTGCGTCACCGGCAACGACCCGTGCCCGGTCCGCGCCCAAGCGGAGTTGGAGCGCTTGGTCCCCCAGCGTTGGACGTCGAAATCAGATGCGCCCCTGCTCCGGCGCGAGGGGTGGGGGCCCGTCCGGCGGCAGAACGCGAAGGTCTTGCTGGACCAGGCAGCCGAGGCGGATGGGGTCCACCCGTCGCGCATCGGGAGCCGCTCCCTTCGGATCGGGGGGGCCACCGCGACGCGCCTTGCGGTGCCAGACCTCGGGCGGCTGAAGCGCTTCGAGCGCTGGAAGTCTAGCGCCTCCCACGCGCGCCTCCGGGAGGCGCGCGAGCCCCAGCAGGGCTTGGCAGAGGCCATGTCGGCCCAAAACTACCAGCTCACCCTGCGGGGCACAGACCGACAAAAGGGGTGGGGGGGGAGACGGGGAAGAACCCAGGGAGTCGGGTTCTTCCAAGAGCCCCCCGAGGGGCACCCCCCGATCGAGCGAATTCTGGGATCCTTTGCGGGAAGGGGGAAAGGTAACCCAGGCGCTCAGCAAAAGGCGGCTTGAGGAAAGAGGGAGTGGGAGCGTGCTCCCCGTCGCACTGCGGGACCACTCGGGAGGGACCTCCCTTGCCTTTTGGGCGTCCGGCTCCGTTTCGGGGCCCTGTTCCCGGCGCCCGCTGGTTTTCTTAGATAGCGCCCCCGGCGGTCCGCGCGCCGCAAGTGGAGGCGCCCCCTCGCCCGCGCCCGAGGTACCCCCCTCGCGTTTCCCGCGCCGGTGGTCGGCGCCGCGCTTTGAAGGGTTTAGCTTTCTGGGCCAAGTCCCTGCAATTTTTTTCGCCGCAGTCGGTGGGGGCAGGGGCCTGGCGCGGCGGGTAGGGCGGCGGCGTGGGCGGCGCGCCTTCGGCTGAGCCACTGCTTTTCCCCGCGGTACAAATGCGCCCCACCCCCTCGCCTTCTGCGCCGTGCGCGGGGCCCGGTGGGGAATCTAATTTTGCTAGTGCCCTGCTTTAGAGGATGGTTTCCGTTTCGACGCACGCCGGTTTTCCCTCCTGTCTCTGCCTTCTCGCGCGCTTTGCTTTGGCCATCTAGCTCGGGCAATGGTTGGCTTTCCCCCCCTAGGTCTCTTTTCGCCCGCCAAGGTGCGGGCGGGCGGCGTGTTTTCGGCTGAACTCTTGTTTGTTCGCCGCACTTAAGATGTGCCGCCTCCCCTCACCTTCTGCATCGTGCACGGGGTCCGGTTTGGAATCAATTTGGTTTTTGGACCCACATCATCACCATCATTCTCATCATCATTATTTTCCTCACGGGCGCACCCGCTTCGCGGCCGAATGCATTCCACGTTCCGGGGTTGTTCGCTTTTTCTCGCCACCCGTTTCTTATTCGTCCATTGTGGGCCTGCCCGCGGGCCCAAAATTGGTCCAGCCCCCTCCCTTTACAACTCCTGCTCCTCCTTCCTTCTCTTGCAGTGCGTGCGTCCTTCAGTTTTTCTGCCCGCCGCACAGCTTGGCCCGACGCAGTTCACGTTCGCAACGCGCACATGCGCGCGCGCGTGTCGGCGAACAGGAAGTAACACTGCCAAGCAACGTGATACGTAGCACCCCGCAATTGCAGTTAAGAGTGAGGGCGCGGGCGGGCGGGCGGGCGCGACGCCCGCGACACACTCGCGACCCGCCCGCCTCGCGACACACCCGCGACCATCGGCCCGCCACCCGCCCGTCCCGGGGGGGAACGGAGGAGGGGAACGCGCGATTTAGAGGGAGGGGGGAGGAGGTGAGTCGCTCGGCCCCCTTATTTTTCGGTCGGAGTGCCCACCGCGAACAATGATTTTCATACATGCAGGGTGCGTTACACTCGCCAATCCGCGAATCGCCTCGAGTTTCCCCCAAACTTCAGCCGCAAGCCCGCAACCTTTTCAACAACGTCGCGGCCGCACTTTCGGCTCAGAGGAGACCAGAACATGAAATAGACTCCGTTCAATGATCGTTGCAATCACGTCGGCATCAGCGTCGTGGTCAAGGCCCTCTTGTTCCAAATACTTTAGACCCGCTGTATTCCTCTAGTTCCGGATTGGCAAACATGCAGCTGAACCCTATTTGACATCGAAATTGGGCCCAGTGTTGAAGAACACGTGTTTTTTGGTGTTTGTATTGGAGTGCCTCCCCCCGGTATTCCACCATAGTTGGGTGTGAGTCTCCTCCTGATCACACTCCTCAGTCATCTCCGGCTATTATTGGTATTCGCGCTGAGTTGCAGGGACATCGAACCGTTTATCAACGACGACACATGTGGACCTCAGTTTTTCGACGAAGGCCCTTCGAATGCATGTCTGATGTTGTGTGTACTTCGCACGGAAAGGAAACTGACGCCCAGCTTCCAGCGCGATCAGCTTCGATGTTCTGTTCGACCAGGAGGTTTGTGTATGCCTGATCGAAGCAGACCAACCTGGCCGTTTGCATGGAGTTCGAACTCGCAGTACACACTGTGCAATTTCACGACAACGCATGCTTCAATGAATCGGTTGACGTGGATTCTAATGGTTGCAGCAGGCAGGCTCTATGCATTCACAAGAGAGCATATTTTCGCCGACCAATAGGCAGCATGACTGCTTAATCTGAAGGAGTTGTATGATCATTATTGAGTTCGACTCAAATTTCAAGAGATGCCGTATTGTTTGTACAGCCGTGTCATAAGGAGTTGTGTGAATACCATCGTTGTTCCTCATACCTAACGTTCTGGGCACCGAATTACATTTCAAATTCAATTCGAGAGGTATTTCATTGTACCGTACCGAATCCACATGTAAAACGGATTTATGTTTCTCCATTCAAGACACAAGATTCGCTTAAATCGTCGATCTAAGAATTGCTTGCATCTGAATGGGCCCCCCCGCAAGCTTATGAAACATTGGCTGGATGACCCGCCGTGCGGATCCCAGCTCTTTGTCCAGCCGGCGCAAGGACAAAGTAGACCCTTCTTGATCTGCCACCCTGTGCTTACCTTTGCTGAACACAACCCGTTTCCAGTCCGACCCTGGAAAAGAACCGTTGAACGCACAATTTACCACATGAGAAAAGAAGGGGCGGCCGAGACACATGCCGATAGCAGAGACGGGTACACACTGCTCATGCTGCGAGGGCACAATGCACCTGTCGAGGCGACGCGACGACACGATCTCGCACCTGGACCTCGGGCTCCGGTGCCGCCGGGCTGCCTTGCGCCCTCGCCAGCGCACTTGCCAACGACAGCGGGCGACCACGGCCGCACCGAGGGGGCAGCGCGGGGGCGCTTGCGGCCGGCGCGGGCGGCCAAGATTGCCGAGCTGCCGTCGTCCAGAGCAGGGTTGAGCAAGGGCGCCCTCGAGGGCGCGAAGTTATTCGCGCTTCGCGGTTCGGCTCCGTTTCCTCCTCATCCTCCTCTTCTCCCCTGGGAGGCGGCGCGAGAGCGCGAAGTTATTCGCACTTCGCGCTTCGCGCAGCGCGAAGCGCGAAGTTGGGAGTCCTGGCTGAGCGGCTTCTCCGCGGAGGCAGCTCTGCCCCAGGAGGGCGCGGCGGCGGCTCCATCGTCGGCAAGGGGCGCCGCCCAGCCCCGCTGGCCCCTCGGGGGCGCACGCGGAGCCTCGCCCCATGGAGCCCGCTGCTGAGATTCAGGAGGAGAAAACCCACGCAGACAAGAGTAATCGTCCACTCCAAGGAAAATATTGGAAAATATGGGAAGTGGGGGAAGACAAAAGCCAGAAAATACAGGAAAATATGGAGAGTCCTTTTATTTGTGTCTATTTATTTGTGTGTCCCAGGGCCCCTTCAAAGATGAAACGGCATAGGGTGATAACACGAAAGAGCGAGGGAGGACAGTGGCGGAATCGAAAAGCCAAGGGCCCTACGATTCCCCCGTCGTTTTTGTGTCACTTGTCACCCCCCACCCTGCTCCGCCATATCCTCATGTTCCTTCCCTCCTTCTCCCGCCCCTCCTCGTTCTTCCTTTGCTACTGGCATTGTCCCTCCACAAGAAACATACGCCCCACACATTGTTTCCTTTGTCGGTTCCATCGGCTTCGACATTCCGCATGTTGAATGAGTGAACGCACACATTACAAGCGTGGGGGCAGGAATGGACAGCACCGCGCCACTTTGCACGCGAAAACCACCTATGTGATCTGACAGCGTTGGGTCGCGAGCTGTTGTTTGAGGGCCGCTTGCCGCAACGGGTGCGCAAACAGCGCGCGCATCTAGCGCCCCCCCCCCCCCCGTGTTGCAGGAGCCCAGCGTGTTGCGAACGTTCTGGGTCGCTATCTCGCGCGCGCCACTAAGCACGGATGTGCAAAGATCGGCACGTGTAGATATATGCGATTTTCGTGTGACAACAGCGGGCCCCCATGGTTGGGCGAACAGCTACTCGAGCCACATAACATATGACCAATCATTGGGTGTGTGATCTGCGCCAGGCGCTTGTGAAGGTTGCAACACTCTACTGTGTGTGGTGCGGCATATGACTTGCCGCGCAAGAACCCTACTTGTGCGTCAATTTGGTGTGATCTCAGGCTCTTGTATCACATGCCCTCTCTAATTGGCGCCTTCTATTACAAGTCTAGATCAGCAGGGTGCTTCGTTACCATCCATGACCAGTTTCTCTCAAGACCCTTCTCCCGCATGCCCACCTTGCTTGCCTGGCTGCTTCTTCAAAGTTTGAATCATCGTGTTGAGCACTGTCGAGCCTGTACTTGTTTTGGTTTGGGGCCTGGTGGGGGGTCGAGACGCGTCTACCAGTGGGCGGCACGGGAGCTTTCCTTTCATTGCGAGTTGCAGTCGATGTGTTTCTTTGACTTCCGAGTGGGGAAGCCGCAGGGAGGTGAGCCAGCCTGCGAACAGCCGGTGGAACCCGCACCCTTGGCTTGAGAGGCTATGGCATGTCGCGAAATGGATTGGCACGACTTATCGGGACAGGCCGACGCCGCATCCACCGATGTGCTTCTCCCGTTCGTGTTCTGACGAGAACGGGGGTCCCCCCGTCCCCCCTTTCCTCCCCGACCCTCCCCATCCCACCCATCCCTTCCCTTTCTTGCCCCACTCCGATGCCTCCGTGCATCGCTCTCTCTCTCTCTCTCTCTCTCTCTCTTTCTCTCTCTCTCTCTCTCTCATCTTCCGATCCTTCGCTCTCCCCCTCCTCCCCGTTGTTCTCAGGTCATCGTTGCCGAGTGCTACTGCTTGACGCTTCTAGATGACACTCGTTGCTGCTTATTTTTCCCAACCCTCCTATGGTTGGGTACTCGTTTTGAAAAGAGAACTGTGGTATCCACTTCCCGCCCGCTCCTCCTTCTCTCTTGTGGTCGCGGTGCCCTGCGGGGCTGCAATCTGCGCAATTGTCGCCACTTTCGTGGGCTCCTGGCTGTCCCCTGCGGGGCTGCGATCTGCGCAATTGTCGCCACTTTCGTGGGTTCATGGGAGGCCCAGCGGAGGTACGTCATACGCAGATCGTTTTGAGGCCTCCCTGTCCCCTGCGGGGCTGCGATCTGCGCAACTGTCGCCACTTTGGTGGGTTCCTGGGAGGCCCAGCGGGGGTACGTCATACGCAGATCACTTTGAGGCCTCCCTGTCCCCTGCGGGGCTGCGATCTGCGCAACTGTCGCAACTTTCGTGGGTTCCTGGGAGGCCCAGCGGAGGTACGTCATACGCAGATCACTTTGAGGCCTCCCTGTCCCCTGCGGGGCTGCGATCTGCGCAACTGTCGCCACGTTCGTGGGTTCCTGGGAGGCCCAGCGGAGGTACGTCATACGCAGATCACTTTGAGGCCTCCCTGTCCCCTGCGGGGCTGCGATCTGCGCAACTGTCGCCACTTTCGTGGGTTCCTGGGAGGCCCAGCGGAGGTACGTCATACGCAGATCACTTTGAGGCCTCCCTGTCCCCTGCGGGGCTGCGATCTGCGCAACTGTCGCCACTGTCGTGGGTTCCTGGGAGGCCCAGCGGAGGTACGTCATACGCAGATCACTGTGAGGCCTCCCTGTCCCCTGCGGGGCTGCGATCTGCGCAACTGTCGCCACTTTCGTGGGTTCCTGGGAGGCCCAGCGGAGGTACGTCATACGCAGATCACTTTGAGGCCTCCCTGTCCCCTGCGGGGCTGCGATCTGCGCAACTGTCGCCACTTTCGTGGGTTCCTGGGAGGCCCTGCGGAGGTACGTCATACGCAGATCATTTTGAGGCCTCCCTGTCCCCTTGGCGCACCTGGCGCGCACCTGGCGCGCTGGGCGCACCTAGCGCACCTGACTCGCTGGGCGCAACTGGCGCGCACCTGGCGCACCTGACGCACCTGGCGCACTTGTCGCACTTGGCGCACCTGGCGCACCTGGCGCGCGCCTGGCGCGCACCTGGCGCACCTGGCGCGCTGGGCGCGCTGGGCGCACCTGCCGCACCTGGCGTACCTGGCTCACCTGGCGCGCCTGGCGCGCCTGGTGCAACTGGCGCACCTGGCGCACCTGGCGCGCACCTGGCGCACACCTGGCACACCTGGTGCATCTGGCGCACCTGGCGCACTTGGCGCGCTGGGCGCACCTGGCGCACCTGGCGCACCGGGCGCAGACCTGGAGCGCCTGTCGCACCTGGCGCACGTGGCGCACCTGGCGCACCTGTCGCACCTGGCGCACATGGCGCACCTGGCGCACTTGTCGCACCTGGCGCACCTGGCGCACCTGGCACACCTGGGGCAACTTGCGCACCTGGCGCATCTGGCGCGCTCCTGGCGCACACCTGGCGCGCAGCTGGCGCAGCCGGCGCAGCTGGCGCGCGCCTGGCGCGCACCTGGCGCGCACCTGGCGCGCACCTGATGCGCTGGCGCACCTGGCGCGCTTGGAGCACCTGGCGCACACCTGGTGCACCTGGCGCGCTGGGCGCACCTGACGCACCTGACACACCTGGCGCACCTGGCGCACCTGGCGCGCCTGGCGCGCATGGCGCAACTGGCGCGCCTGGCGCATCTGGCGCACCTGGCGCACCTGGCGCGCCTGGCGCACACCTGGCGCACACCTGGCGCACCTGGCGCATCTGGCGCGCCTGACGCACCTGGCACACCTGGCGCACCTGGCGCACCTGGCGCACCTGGCGCGCACACCGCGCGCACTTGGCTCACTTGGCGCGCCTGGCGCACCTGGCGCACCTGGCGCGCCTGGCGCGCCTGGCGCACCTGGCGCACCTGGCGCGCTAGGCGCGCCTGGCTCACCTGGCGTACCTGGCGCATCTGGCGCACCTGGCGCCCCTGGCGCGCTGGGCGCACCTGGCGCGCCTGGCGCACCGGGCGCGCACCTGGCGCACACCTGGCGCACACTTGGCGCACCTGGCGCGCCTGGCGCGCCTGGCGCACCTGGCGCGCCTGGCGCGCCTGGCGCACCTGGCGCACGTGGCGCACCTGGCGCACGTGGCGCACCTGGCGCACCTGGCGCACCTGGCGCACCTGGCGCACCTGGCACGCCTGGCGCGCTTGGCTCACTTGGCGCGCATGGGCTTCTGGGAGGCTCAGCGGAGGTACATCCTACGCAGATCACCACTATACCATGGCGCCGAAATGTCCTTCGGTATTGAGTGGTCTTGAATGCAGTTGTCACTTGTGTAGACAGGGTTGCGGAGGTACGTCTTACGCAGACCACTTTGAGGCTTCCCTGTCCCCTTGCCGCACCTGGCGCACCTGGCGCACTTGTCGCACCTGGCGCACCTGGCGCGCACCTGGCGCGCACCTGGCGCGCACCTGGCGCGCACCTCGCGCGCGCCTGGCGCACCTGGCGCGCTGGGCGCACCTGGCGCACCTGCCGCACCTGGCGCACCAAGCTCACCTGGCGCACTTGGCGCGCCTGGCGCAACTGGCGCACCTGGCGCACCTGGCACACCTGGGGCAACTTGCGCACCTGGCGCATCTGGCGCGCTCCTGGCGCACACCTGGCGCGCACCTGGCGCAGCCGGCGCAGCTGGCGCGCGCCTGGCGCGCACCTGGCGCGCACCTGGCGCGCACCTGATGCGCTGGCGCACCTGGCGCGCTTGGAGCACCTGGCGAGCACCTGGCGCACACCTGGCACACCTGGTGCATCTGGCGCACCTGGCGCACCTGGCGCGCTGGGCGCACCTGGCGCACACCTGGCGCACACCTGGCGCACACCTGGCGCAGACCTGGCGCGCCTGGCGCACCTGGCGCACCTGGCGCACCTGGCGCACTTGTCGCACCTGGCGCACATGGCGCACCTGGCTCACTTGGCGCGCCTGGCGCAACTGGCGCGCCTGGCACACCTGGGGCACCTGGCGCACCTGGCGCACCTGGCGCGCACCTGGCGCACACGTGGCGCACACCTGGCGCAACTGGCGCACCTGGCGCGCGCCTGGCGCGCACCTGGCGCGCACCTGACGCGCTGGGCTCACCTGGCGCACCTGGCGCGCTGGGAGCACCTGGCGCGCACCTGGTGCACCTGGCGCGCTGGGCGCAGCTGACGCACCTGGCACACCTGGCGCACCTGGCGCACCTGGCGCGCCTGGCGCGCATGGCGCAACTGGCGCGCCTGGCGCAACTGGCGCACCTGGCGCACCTTGCGCGCCTGGCGCGCACCTGGCACACACCTGGCGCGCCTGGCGCACCTTGCGCATTTGGCGCGCCTGTCGCACCTGGCACACCTGGCGCACCTGGCGCACCTGGCGCACCTGGCGCGCTAGGCGCACCTGGCGCACAACTAGCGCACACCTGGCGCACCTGGCTCACTTGGCGCGCCTGGCGTGCCTGGCGCACCTGGCGTACCTGGCGCATCTGGCGCACGTGGCGCACCTGGCGCGCTGGGCGCACTTGGCGCACCTGGCACACCGGGCGCACACCTGGCGCACACCTGGCGCACACTTGGCGCACAGATGCGCCATGCGCGCCTGGCGCGCCTGGCGCACCTGGCGCACCTGGCGCACCTGGCGCACCTGGCGCACCTGTCGCACCTGGCTCACCTGGCGCGCATGGGCTTCTGGGAGGCTCAGCGGATGTACGCCCTACGCAGATTACCGCCCTATATCATGGCGCCGAAATGTCCTTCGGTATTGAGTTTTCCGGAGTGCAATTGTCACGTGTGTAGAAAGGGCTGGGTACGTCGCAGGATAATGTGTTGTTGCTGCTGCCTGCTGCTGTTTGTTCCTGCTTGCTCCTGGCGCTCGCTGTCGCCTTATGCTTATTGTTTGATCCGTATGGCGATGGAAGCGGTTGGGTCATTCGCGTCAGTTTTTAGTTGGGGTTCTGCCACGATTGTGTTCACACTCTTTTCGTCCCCATATCCTAAGATTCTAAGATGGGGTTCTTGTTATTCCCCATATCCTAAGATGGGGGTTATTGTTAGTTCTTGGACGCCGCCGACTTCTCCTCTTTTTTTTCTCTTTGTCCTCCCTTCCCCTCCTCATACTCAGACTTACTCATACACATACTGACTCACACTCAGACTTACTCATACCCAGACTTACTTACTCATACTCAGACCTACTCCTACTCAGAGTTACTCATGCTGAGACTCACTCATGCCCAGACTAACTAATACTCAGACTTGTTCCCAGACTTACTCCTGCTCGTTTTCAGACCTGTTCATTGTCTGATTCATTCCACACACACAACATATTGTGAGGATGTCTCAGGCGGGGCGCTGGCTCCAGCCCCCCTGAGGGGAGCTGCCAGAGGTGTTTTCACGGTCCCGCTCGCGGCCGTTTTGTGGGCATGTCTTAAGCGGTTTGCTTGTTTTCTGTCCCAACATCCTTCGCTTTCGGAGCCGATTTGGAGGAGGATGTCTCGAGCGAGGCTTTCATTTTCACCCCCTCAGGGGAGCCGCCAGGGGTTATCTCACGGTCCCGTTCGCGGCCGTTGTGTGGGGATGTCTCAAGCGGTTTGCTTGTTTTCTGTGCCCAACATCCTTCGCTTTCGGAGCAGATTTGGAGGATGTCTCGAGCGAGGCGCTCATTGTCACGTCCCTAAGGGGAGCCGCC